GGAAAGCTTTTCGATGTTTTCTGCATCCACCGATAGCTCCCAAAGAGCCAAATCTATGGGTGAATCATATTCGCCACATTCAAAACCAGAGGAATCCTCTCGAAAGGATTCGGGTGACTGGGCAGCTGCGGCTGGGAGCTCATTGGGAAGAATAAACGAACTTGAAGTCGGGTCCCCTCCCGAATCGGTCCTTCAGAAAGCTCATAATATTCATTCTTCAGATGACTCGTCACTTGTTAGTTCACCGTCGGTGTCCAACACTGTTTATCTTGAGCGACCCCTTAGCCCTCTACCCTTCCTTGCAGAAACCTCCGTTGTAAGGGATCAATCACATCGACACACACCACAAGGTCCTCCTTCTCCAGGAAGGCCCGCACCCGAACATCGAGATCAGTCTACATATTGCCTTCTTAGAAGCTCTGAGGAAGATGGTGTCGTGCTCCCTCTCGCCCCTGACGAAGCTGACAACCTACCATGGAGTGCAAGGAATATTATCAAAGAAGCTCTTAAATATTACTACTCAAGCTCACTAGTCGACATACAATCAGCTGCTCATTTGTTGCACAAAATGCATTTGCTCTATTCCTCAATCGATGAGATTCTACCATATGAGGAGCGTGATCTTATTTTCAAATCTTATAATGAACAACTTCTTAGGCAGGGGATGTTTGTTGAAGCAGCAGAACTTCGACTACTATGTGTCCCTGACTATCCCTCTGTTTATGATTATGCGCAGCAAGATACATTTATCAATGTGTACTGTTTCGAATGCAAAAAGCCTTACGAGAACCCGGTGCGGGATAATCAGCGATGTCATCGATGCAATACTCCGCAGCCGCCGTGTACAATATGCATGAGCCGAGACCCTCCTATGGAATGGACTCTACAGGCTTCTGCCCCATTTGCACCATTCTCTACCTCCTCAGATAAGTCTTCTCAAGATAGGGATGACTGCACAGTTGGTAGTGACATTCACACCGCCTACCGCCCTCACGGCACCGCACTCTGGGCCTGGTGCCAAGGGTGCGGCCATGGTGGCCACGCAGCATGTCAAAATGTCTGGCTAAACGACATTTCCATGAGCGAGGGCGGATGCGCGACACCAGGGTGTCTTCACGATTGTGGACCAGGTCCACGGCGTCAACAGAATCGCTCCTCCCTTGTTGACGAACGCAAGCGGGTAAGGGATACTTTATCTGGACGGCAATTGAGTCGGAACTTTGCGAAGCGGGACTCGTGGACTGCTGGTGAAAGCAAGGCTGTGGAGCGGGTACGTGGGATGCTGGGTATGGCCACAACAGCAAATTCAGCGACGCCAGCAGCAACAACGTCGTCTGCTTCCACGACTCTAGCAGCGGCCACAGGCCCCCATGTAGCTAGTGGCGGCATGGTTCCAACTGCGTTGATGTCCCCGAAGAAAGTCAGGTTGGTCACCCCGAGTGAGCAAGGAGGCCACCCGCCGAACTTTAAGGGACGGGGGGTTGGAAGTGGAGCTGGACCTGGACCTGGACCTCAGCCGATTTACCATCGACATTCGATATCTGAAACTTCGTTGACGACGAAGCAACCCTAGAATTTTTTATTTTTTAATTTTTTTTAATTTAATTTAATTTAATTTTAAGCTTTTTGTTCTTCTTGTCTTGCCGGATTGCACATCTGCCAAATACCCTTTTCTCTTTTCGTTCTTGCCTCATAGTTTAAGTTATTCCTTTAGCGTGGCATATCAGACGGTCCAGGCACCGTGCACAGCATGGGCGGTTAGGGGTTGAAGGGGATTAAACTACCCTATATAACATGGGATGCCTTGGGCTTTCACCTTTCGTTTGCTTGTTTGTTATTATTTGTTATGTTTTTTGGGGAACTGGCAAGGCATTATTAGCCCTTGCAGTTTCCTTTTCCATTCCCTTAGGCTTTTTTTGGACCTCTACATTTGATGTCTTGCAATATTCCACGCGGGCTTGCAAGATGGTTGGCAGATTTTGGGCATGTATTTTAGTGTGTTTTCTGTCCATCTGCGTAGCATGGTTATTAAAGGGGGAGGAGGGCCATAGTTCGTTGGTTGATGTATCTATAGGTAAAAATGTAATTTATCAGGGTTAAAGTGTTCCTTCTACTACCCGCCTATTAACTGCTGTACCTAAAGAGGTGCGTGTTAAACGTCAGATCTCCCGGTGGATTCCTGCATTAAATTGTGGGGGGAGCGTATCTGCTATGCTGCACCACCATAATTCGCCCCTCCTTTTATAATTATTTCAGGCAACAGGGAGGGAGGCATCTGGCGATCTGTGCTATGCTTCGCACACGTAGACAGGAAGAATGACCGCGAAGCCTTAGTGAAGCCGGCGGGGAGTAGAGTGGCCCTTTCATTAATTAAAATAGAATGGGATGTGAGATTGCAGTGTATAAAAATGAAAAAAAGGGATATTTTTCGATTTGCAACAAGGGGTAATACATAAACTGAGAACAGACTTAAAATACCCAAGTATAAATGTCCGATTGAGATTACTGCTAAAGGCTTGCCTGCAGCTTATCTTCCGTTCGAATCACACATCTTAGCCCGGGACCTACTTCAGAATCGTCTCTTTTTCTTCGCTGGTCCTCCACCACCAGTACCTACACCTTTATTCCTCGCTTCCAACTGCTTCCTCAGTTCTGCTCTTTTCCGATTTGCTCGCTCCTCTGGGGTCTCTTCCTTTGCTTCCTGTTTGATTTCCACTTTTTCACCCAGCTCCGGTGCTAGTGGTTGTTCTGAGGTTCTTGTGGCTGTTCCATATCTAGGTGGCGGTGACAATTGAGGCATCCTTCGATCTGGTGAGGATTCCTTCTGTGACGTCGAAGCGGCTGGCTTGCCACGGCCACCGATCATTCCTAGCTTGCCACTTGAGTGTCTAAGTTTTGCTGTCTGGTGGGTCGCTGGCGATGTTTCCATTTCATCGCCGTCCTCATCATTATCGTGGTTTAGCGTTCCTAATTTCGGAGTTTCAGGGTGATCTGTAGGTGAGGTCTGCTCGTCCTTCTTCTTTCTACCGCCGATCTGACCAATTACCCCCATGCCACCAGATTTAGGTTGTGCTTTTAACGGAGGGGAGGATTTCCGTTGGCTGGCTTTTGGTAGTTCTTGCTCAGCTGGTCGTGAGACCGAGCTGTCGGTGTCATTTTCCGATTCTGTGGGCATATCGTTAGTGTCGGCAGCTTCCTTCGTTAGCTTTGGACTTGATGCTGTCCCCGGAGCGTCAGAAAGATCTGATGCTGTTGATTCGATCGGCGTTTCCTGACGCGGTTTCTCTGACTTTTTCTTCCCGGCGATGGTCCCAAGACTTCCCTTGGCTTTTGTGGTTGATTTTGGTTTAGCTGCTGCTTCAGGTTGGGCTTCAGATTCTGTGGATTCTGCTGATTCCATTGGGGAATTTTTTCGTCTTACGAGCTGTCTACCGCAAATAGTCCCAAGGCCCTTTGGTCTGCGGTTTGGCCCTGGTTGAGTATCATCTTGCCCGTCTTCTTCAGAAGCAGTTGCTTCAGAGGAATTTGATGCTCGTGATTTCTTCTGTTTGGAGTGGTCTGCTACATCTCCTGTATGTTTCCTGCTTTTAGAGCCTAGGGAAAGTGAAGGGCTTCCTTCTGTAGAATCTCCATCTGAGTCGATACGTCTCTTCCCTGTGGGCATGGTAGACTTGTGGGGGGTATTGTTTTCAGACTTTTTACGCCTGCGGCTTTTCAGCCTCGGTGGAGTTTCCATAGTCTAATATGCAAGTTTTAATACGAATCATTTGGATAAGAACTTGGGAAGTTTATCTGACCTGAAATTCATCGTCGTCACTTTCCGTAACCTCTTCTTTTTCTACTGGAGGCAGCCGTATTTTTGATGCACGTTCCTCTTGGTACTTGTCCTTTCTCGCTGCTTGACGAGGCTTGTCAGCGAGACCTGCAGCTAGCTTGTTCCACCAGTTCTCAGGGGCGATGCCATCACTCTGTCGATCAATAGATGAGAATGAGAGCGACAATTCACTCGCAATATGGACACCCAGGTTGTAGTCAGCATCTTTAGCTTGGTATTCATTATTCCATAATTCTTCATCGAATGGTGCAACTCCTTTAATAAGCTTGGACGCTTGAGAATATACGGAATCCTTCCGAGAGAGTCGCACTCCTCCCATGCCAGGAAATACGGTGCTCAGGTCGACGCCAGACGACTCTATTTTGTCAAATAATTTGCTGAGAGCCCAATCTTTTTGCTTCACTTGCCCTATTAGCGACATGATGCGGGTGTCATGGTTCACCTCCCCTTTTAAAATTGGTAGGAGGATGTGTTTAGTCAAAGCATTTGGTGACTGTTGCGAGAGGGTAAACGTCCACCGTAGCGGGTCCAACGGAGCTGGTAGCTTTGTTGATGTACTGAGTTTGAGCTCATTGCCTCCCGTCTCACTTGCTAGCGACAATGAACTGTCCTTGGACCCTCGTAACGCGTCTGAAATTTTCTGTAGGAGAACAAAATATTGTTCATCATCCTCGCTCGGATCGATGCTCGTATTATACTTGGACGCGTTATTGTGGATTTCTTTGCGGGTCAGGCTTTCGGACCATACATAGGCCAAGTCTGTCACGAAAATCTCACACCCCAGATTGCTGGTAAGGTACTTATAGAGAAGAGGAGGAGTAGGGTTGCCACATGGAAGCTGGAGTTTCGACCACTTTGACATATTTTCAGTCTGAACAAAATTTACTTAGCTGTGAAATGTACTGAATAGAAGGTTTATGTGAAGAAAATAAAACCAGCATCATCTTTAGATTGTTTCTGAGGTTGTTCCAAACATCTAGGCATCGCAGGCAGATCTCAAGGCGATGGCTTAACTAGTTCTGTTACGTATGGAAGGTTTCCCGAACTCGGCTAACCTTCCCAGCTAGGTTAAGCTCAACCGACTGGAACCAGTCCAAAGTTGATCACCGTGTGGCGTCGTCTCCTCTCCACCTCAACAATCAAACATATACGACCAACTCCAAAAATGTCATTCAGAGTCCCCGATAGAACTGGTTCCAAGAGGAGCAGATCGCGCTCCCCGTCGTCGTGGCGCCGCCCTGAGAAATTCTCTCGCCAATCGGACGGAGCCAGCACGGCGAATGGCCGTTCTCGAACCCTCCCTCACAGCGGTGCGTCTGGGCGGTATCCGCGGAGCATGAAAGAACAGACTCAGTTGAACCAGCTCCAAGAAGATGAAAAAATGCGAGAATGGGTGGCCCAAGAGGATGATTTTGTATTAAGGCAGGCAAAGAAGAAGGCAGAGATACGGGTGAAGGAAGGACGCGCAAAGCCAATTGACTGGCTTACGATTACTCTCCGAGTTATAGATCCCACGAGGAATCCCTTGGATGATGAAATAGCAACTTCCGAACTTGATCTAATCGATCCAGAAGGTGTGTTCGAAGGTTTATTACCAGATCAACTACGCGACCTTGAGACAGATATCGATACTTTTTTGACACTGGAGAAGCATCCCAAGAATAGGGATTTTTGGAAGGTTTGTTATCGCATTTGGTCGGTGTTGTTATGGTAGGAGGCTGACTTTCCTATAGACAATGAAAATAGTGTGTGAAGACAGCAGACAGAAGTCACAGCCATTCGGTCCGGAAGGTCGAGCCATGAATTCTGTCGCTGATGATATCAACAGGCTTCTTGGCCCGAAGTCTTACGAAGAGCTAGAAACACTGGAAATCCAAATTCGGCGGAAACTAGATTCCAAAGACCCCATCGACACGGATTACTGGGAGCAGCTCTTGAGAAGCTTGACTGTTTGGAAAGCTCGTGCGAAACTGAAAAAGGTCTATCAAGCTGTCATTGATGGCCGCATCAGCGGGCTTCGGAACCAGCAAAAGGAAGAAGCGGTAGCTGTACAGAAGAAACTTGCACCGTTGGCGCCTCTTTTGGTGGCAAGTAGTGGCCTGCTGCCGAGCGATATCCTGAACAAGGAAACTGTTTTAGACCTTGACCCTGAACCCCTTTTGCACCTAGGAGCACAAGATAAAAGTCTCGATATTCTAGATGAAGAAGCGCTTTTAAGCAAGGTGGTACGTTCAAACCGCTTTAGATCTTATCCCATGGATCGTATCTAACACTATAATAGGCTCTTGATCGCCAAAAGATCCTAAAAATGGGATTTGTCCCTCTGCGACACCGCGCTATAGAGAAAATGTCAACACTAGTTACCGCCCCTTCTGTAGATACTTCTACAGCTCATTTTGCATCCCGGTTTGCGGCGATTCCGAATGAAGATTTCTCCCAGGCAACAAGAGCGTTGTACGAACGAGAAGTGGCAAGAGGAGTCAGCGAGAATGAGGAAATTTTCGCTGGCGAAGAAGCTGTGAGTACAGCTGCGAAGCCAACATGGGCCAACAAGTACCGGCCTCGCAAACCGAGATATTTCAATCGCGTCCAGATGGGTTATGAGTGGAATAAATATAATCAAACACACTACGATTACGATAACCCACCTCCGAAGGTTGTTCAAGGGTATAAATTTAACATATTCTACCCCGACCTGATCGATAAAACCAAGGCTCCGACCTACAAAATAGAGCGGGAAAACGGCAGGAAACGTGGCCAGTCATTTGCCCCAGCTGGCGAAGAGGATACATGTCTTATTCGATTCATTGCTGGTCCTCCTTACGAAGACTTGGCGTTTCGGATAGTGGACAAGGAATGGGATTACAGCGCAAAGAGAGAAAGAGGTTTTAAGAGCAGTTTTGACAAGGTATGAATAACTGAGCGTGGCATTTACTACCTACGAGTTTAGTCCAATATTAACTCTTCCTAGGGAATTCTTCAACTTCATTTTCAGTTCAAAAAGGTATGAGAGTTAGATCCCCATTTCGCTTACATGTACCGAACTAACATGGATTTTGTAGATATATTACCGCAAATGATCGTTTCGTTATGCCACGATTGGGGATGCAGAACTATGAGTATGACATTTCTCGTTACACAGACCTGCCGTTCTGTAAGTCTGGGTCCCACATGGGTCATAAGATGCTGTTGGAGGAAGTGGTGGAAGCTACGGCGGGTCACTTACCTGGGTTTTGCTGCTAAATGTCGAAGAATTCAGCTTTATCGGGCCAGGCATTACAAGCCATTGTTATGACGATAACGCATAATGTTACTATTCTCTGGTTGAATGTGACACGAAATATTTGATGACCCACTCAGCTCCTGTCGGAATTTATACCCAACCACGCGATGCTGTCAGGTCGTGGGGCTTGTCTACCATTTATAAACAAGAACGGTTGAGGCTTCTGTGCCACATAACTCCCCAGATCTCATGTGGTCATCAGCCAATAGGAAATTTGAGATATCACATATTTCAATTAGAAACCTGTATTTCTGAGCCATGCTGAGTTCATCAAGGACGTGATGCATGCATGGTCGATTTCCCGGTGACAGTCCAGCTACAAAAGAGTTTGAGGACTCTTCGGTGAATCAACCATTAGGATAACCAGATTTTGTTTTAGGGGCAAAAAGAAAAACGAAGATGAGGAAGGCAGAACAATAAATATATTTTGGTTTGCTTGACAGATAATGATTTTCCTTCAAGACCAATCCCAGGCAAATCCTAGCTTCAGGCGCTCTTCCAGATCGTCAGTGATCGGCCACAGGTTACCATTCCTATATTTCTTATCAAAAGCAACTATTGACAGGGCAGCTCCGGCACGTACCCGTTTTGCAACCAATGCGACTGATTACCGAGCGAGCTTGCTTGCTTGCTTGACACATTTCAAAAATCTAAATCTTGGCGATTCCTGGGCATTAATTGGCCCTGCAGCATGTTCCACAAACGTTTGCTTCTCAGGAAAGTATGATTGCCATGGTCTCTCATATTTATCATAGTCCGTGCTTTGTTTGCCTTAGGGAGCCTATTTGTACAGGTTGTCTGCAACAAAGTTGCTCTAACTATATGCGCTGGCACAAGCAAGTATTAATAGGTTTAACTATGCATTGGGCTGCCTGAATCCTCTTTCCGGAAATGCGCTGCTGTTCTCCATATCTTTGTCTCACAGAGTCTGTTTCTAGAAGTCCAACAGTTAATACTCACACCTTTCCGAGACCCATTGACCCCGCTGACTTCATCATCATTTAAGACATGCGAATTAAATTGTTAGGTTAGCTTTAATCAAAGAAAGAACACCACAATGAGAAACTACAGTGATTACCATCATTTCGAACCGCGAAGTCCAGGGGCACAATATCCTCTCTTTGAGACTACTCCGGTCTATAGGACGCCTCCACTGGAGCAGTCTGTGTCCTTCACTGACACCGCCCGGCCTGGAGACTTCGTTAATTCTTCATCATGTTCTAATTCGGTATCAAATTATAACGACTTGTCGCACCTAGATCCGAATTTTCCGCGACATCCAAAACCGGTTCAAAGTCCATCGGCTCTACTCCAGCATCCATGCCCGCTCGCCATGGCTCCGAGTTTTACCCCTGACTCCAATTACACTAATTACGCTTGCAATCTCGATTCTAGAAGCTACAGTCTTCTAGTTGAAAATACTACGACTGAGTCACCACTGACTGCCTCCAGGTTCAGCCAGAACCGTGCGGCAGCTGGTAGTGAAAACTTCTGCCAGTCGCCGTCATATCCCGAGCTTTCACCAGCCTATGGAGAGAATATTCCCATTTTACCCCTCCAATTTCATGATGAACAGCAAGCACCATCGCGTCAGCAATTTACGTTCTCCCATCTACGGGAGCCATCAATGGAGCGCTTAAGTCCGAACCTAGGGGCCACTGGTTTTCCATGGTCGCCAGAGCCTTCGCGCGTGTCTAGCCCATCGGAAAGGTCTAGTAATGTGCAGTTTAGTCCAGAGGCCACGACGGCTTCCACAGGCCACAATTTGTCCGGTGGAGAGACTGATGATGAAAAGTCGGATGAGCCCTACTCCAAACTGATATGGCGAGCACTTCAGTCTGTTCCTGACAATAAGATGGCTCTGAAAGAGATTTACGAATGGTTCGAAAAGAACACGAAGAAGGCAAGGAATTCGGATTCGAAAGGCTGGCAGAACAGCATAAGGCATAACCTTTCAATGAATGCGGTAAGTTTACTCCCCCTGTGTTTTGCCCTCATACCTTTCAAATATCTTCTTACTTACTGACTCTATCATAGGCATTCGAGGGTGTGAAAGATACCTCATCTCCTGATGGAACCCCAAAGAAAACGGCGAATGTATGGGTCCTTACCAAAGAAGCTCTCCAAAACGGAGTGCAGTCAACGACAAGATACCGAAAATTGGGGACACACAAAAAGTCTTCAAAATCAGAACATCCGGCTCCTCAACGCCAAAGCTCTGGGGCGAAAGGTGGCAAGGCTGCCAAGAGAAATGCCAAAATGAGGCGTGTTAACCAGGAGCCTCATGTGGAGCAAACGGCTAACAGGGGAGTCGCTGGCTGTTACTACCAACCCCGGGATGACAATATTGCGATTCGTAACCTTCATTACCCTCACCAGATATTTTCTGACCATTCAAACGGTTTCGCATCGGATAGCTTTGGCCTCCAGAGTGTGATCGACACGCATCCGGACTCGGGGTTGGGCGACAATAGCTCTTTTTCCTATCCCTTATTTCCAGAGAGCAATGAATTTAACCCTGTCTTAACGACACATGATGGAGACTTAAATTGAACGAATCAACTTGTGCTATTTTGTGCCAGTTTTGATCCCCCCCTCTTTCAACGGCATGATGTACTGTACATTATTAATTCCCTTTTTTCCCCTTTTTTTGGTTTATCTTTCCTTGGCGCACATATCAAGTTCGCGACCGCTTAACTCTCGAATTTTTTTTGGCTCTACTGGCTTTGGGTTAGGTTTTCTCCTGGCGGGACGGTTAAAGTATTTCTAGGGTTGGTGTGTATTTTCATTGTTTTTACATCGCTGATGATTTGCAGGTTGCTTGAATTTGATATCCTTTTTTTTTCCTGATTATCATTCCGCACTATGATCGACACGGCCCGTTTCCTTTGAGTGCAATTCACAGCGTGTACATTACAATAGACGGGATGTTTACAGAATTTGTTGTGCATCCCCTGTTTTCTGACTGAAGAATATCGATTTTAGCTCTTTTGCATATAACTTTATTTGTCCTTTTCATTTTCATTTTCCCTTCTTTTCCTAACATCCATGTGTGTTTATGTTTGTTGTCAGTTTCATCCATAGCAGTCAACCCTTCGTCTATAAGGCCCAAAGGGAGGGTGTGGTAAAGTTGGGCAGCACCTTGACGGCAGATCTCTAACAAATGAAGCGGTATTTCCGAAGATTAATATCTCGGCTCCGCGTCAAGAAGTAATCTTGGGTATGTGGGAGTGGATATATTATTACCATATATTATCACCACCGCACTATGAAGAGGCTATTGGTAATTCCCCGCCTCAGGGCTTTCTGTGGACTGTTTGCCCTTGGGGTCCAGGGATGGTGCCCTAGTATCCCAACATCCTGTCTACTCCGTAACTAGCGTGTCCGATCAACGTTTTCGCACGCCAAGCATCGGGGGTTGGACCCCAGCTGTCGGAGCAGCGTTCGATCCCCAACTACATCATTTTGGATCTCATGCTGCTATGACGTATCACAAAGGTTGCTTTGCTACTGTTCTCCAGGCTACTTTATTACATCGTTGGGAGGTAGGTAAGCACCGTCCAGACACGTATTCTGGGGGATAGGCTTTGGACCATCAATCCCTGCAAGTGGTCTGAGAGCCCTTGCTGCTTCTGAGCCAAAATGGGTTCACCGGGTCCGTTGATCATCCACAGTACGGCCGGCATACGGCTGGGGCTGATATTCCAGAAATCCACAGAGTCACCCTCGCTCGATCCATCCCCAGACTTGCCGCGCCCACGTTCATACCTGACTGGCTCGGCTTTCCCATCCGCGACTTTGCATGAATCCCAAATTTATGGCGAGGGACAACAAAGAAAATGGGCGGGGGGAAGCGGTTTTGTCAGTGATACCCGCGCGTCGAAGAAATGGAACTGCGTCGAACTGCGGGGATGATCGTTTAAATTCTGTGATTTAGACCTGATTGGGTATAAATTCATAATATGTGAAAGGCGGCGCCCAGGGCAGGATGTCGTTACCGTTGATCCGAGAGCCGGTAATTTCACCATTTCTGAGGATGGTTCAGGACAATGTTGAAAAGGCTCAGACGCCCTATCATAGCACACGTCTGGGCAGTGGGCACCAAGCGGGGAGATCACAACCACTAGATACGATCTACCAGTTACATACAGGCTAACCACAGAACCCTTTGGGCCCCGTTGCGTTAAAGCTGGCGTTTTAGGTTGTTACACTACCTGGTACGAATCACCATTAGCGCATGAGTACCCGGGGGCACATGTACAGTACCTACATAACCAATTCTAGATGGGCTTGGTAATTTTTCACCTGGCTGCTGTCTAGCCCACGGTTACTTAGAATTAGCTAATAGAGGAATTAATTTGAAGCCATTCCCCCCATTACCATGCAGTTCGTGACAATTTAGTGTTATGAAAGAGGACTATTATTCTTCCATCGCCACATCTCACTTGGAGGGCTTGGAATTCAACTAATGCGAACATACTACCATATCACTCACTGGCTTGCAAAGGGGATGATCCATTTTGGAATCACATTTCCACTTTTTGCATTCAGAGCTTGCGCATCTGATTAATTGGTTTACTCGGTTGCCGGGCGGGGACCCCTACCTTCAACAGAGCAGCAATTCACACCGTCATTAGGGTAATATCGCCATTATACTCTCGTGGGAAATCCACTATGTTGGTTAATTAACTATGTCTTAAACATACTGACATAATTACAGCAACATATACTAGGAAATACCTCATTGATCGACTTTATAGATCTGGGAGGTTGGCAGAGTGTGGCATACAGCACCGGAAGCGACTATCGCAAGGCTCTAAACGCAATTTTACATAGCTCGCGTACATTAGTGGTCTTTTAAGGGTCATAGTATTACCTAGGTTGTGCCTATACTTAGATTGTCGTATCAAAAATATCATGGAGAATCAACTGTATTGGTTGGTCTAGAACGTCATAGACATCGATCATCACGGCTTTTGCACGGATTCATGTATTGTAAAATTTAGTATGAAAATGATGTTCATTGACTGTCAGGTTTCGTAGTAACAAAGGGGGAATTGAGCTTTAGGATCCCAATTTATTGAAGCTTGCTCCTAATACTCCATCTCCACAGCGAGGTTGTAGTTTCCAATTGCCGCCATAAACGTCTCTGACGCGCCTATACGACATTTCTATTGGCTTAATGGCCACGAAAGGCCCACCTTTAAGCAAAGGGTTTTCGGGAACGGGAGATCCGTGGCTAATGTTATTTTAGTCTTTGGCACGGTGGCGCTTCCACCTTCCCCGACAAAGCCATATGCATGAACAGATGGGAATCGGTATTGCATCCTCGAAAAGTCCAGCGATCCGATCCTCAATGATTGAACACTGGTTTAGCGGTGCGCAAGACGAATCCTTGGCTGCAGCTAGGGCTCATAGCGGCCCATCCCGGAGATCGCTGCTACCATTCGCTGGCGGACGGATGTGATGCATAATAAGCTTTTCACGAAATTTATGTTTTCATGGTTTAGCCAAGGATTTTGCTCAGCCGACTGCGATCCGATCCCCTTTTCTCTTCGCGCAAGGCAGAGAGCTTCAACACTAACACAAAATAAAACCATGGTGATCATCTGAGGGAAAATGTTGGCCTCCGAAATTGGCGCAGTTATATAAATGCCAGAGCTATACTATCCATCCTGCCAAACAATACGTCGTATAGGTGATATCATAGGAAATAATAGTGGCACGGATTCAGTGCTGAGAATATCTATTCTACCCATCTGCTCTTAATATGAAATAAAATGTCAATCAAGTATTCATTATATCTTTACATACATGATTTAGATAGCTAAAAATCAATAGGAAATATCTATATATATTTCCTTCTTTAATATTTATAGTTGATTCATTCTTGATTTTAATCACAGTCTGTAATTTTTATAAAATTAATTGTATTAAAGTCTGTATCTTCTTCTATATAATTGAATCTTATATCTTTTATAATTCTTTTCTCATCTTTGTTTCAGACTATATTCTATATTTAATCTTTAAAATTCACTGTTTTATAATTACTCTGAGATTCTCTATAGAATTTGAATCAGAGTTTTATATAGATTAATTTATTCAGTTCAGCTATTAATTTTTATTTAATCTTTTATCAGTTTTTAATATGATAATATCTAGTATTACTGTATTATTCTCTACTCAAAGAGCAATTTTACATTTCTCAAAAATATAAATATAAGTGAGAATATTCAAAAAAAGTATAATTTTAATATGCTTTTTAAAATTTATTCAGATATTAAAATAAATATAAAATTTTCAGTTTAATTTATCTGATATTAAAAAAACTCTTCAAATTTTCTTATATATAGGCTTTAAATAACTTTCTTAGAGATTTGAAAATATATTATTTTACAGTATTTTAAAGATGTAAAAAAGATGAATAGAGCATAAAAAATAAATATTTCTCTATATAAAGAATAAGATATAATTAATTATAAGTAGAGAGTGTAGATGTCATGCTCCCGGCCGCGCCAAGACTCTGTTGCAGTTTCACACGGCTCATCACTTCCATGCGGATGATTTCATTTCATTTAAATCAGTTTTCAATCACTCTATGACATCATTCAGATATATTATAGAAAGATCTGATTGATGAATATGAGAATCTCACTTCTATATAAGATCAGCAGATTACTCTTTCTTAGCAGTGAGATGCTGCTGAGGTATCACTCTGACTATTCTTACTCATGAAATAAGAGAAGAGTATCTGCTCATTATCTATATAGAATAGCTAGATGCTGACTTCTTATTAAAAAAGTCAGTGATTTGTCTTTTTCTTCTACAGGAATAATATACACAAGAGTTACTATGTGTCTCATACAATCTTCTTAGTATACTAAGTATTATATCTGTGATATTCTCACAATAACTCTGTAGTCTACAAGCTCATTATTCAAGCAAGATAGTTAAGCTTACTTATACAGCTTCTTAAACAACTATCTCTACATATCATTATCAGCTAGTCACTGCTTCAGTTCTATCACATTACAATTTAAATTGCTTAATCTGATTATACATTTGAATCAGTTGAGCTCTAACAGACTGATATGATCTCATGTATCTATGCTGAGACTGATCTGACCTCACTCTCTGAGAGAAACACTACATTATTCTCTAGAGTGTGTACATCTCTATTCTGGCAGAAATCCGAGATTTCTGAATCTGCTGTATATTTTGATATGAGCTCTTCAATCACTCTATTATTATCACAGCCTCTACACATCTACATCTATCATGAAGATAGAGAGATTAAGATTGAAGATTTACTGAGATATAAGAGAAATATCTTGTCTGAATTTCACAGCTTTATCTGTACTCTTGAATGAAAATTCCACCTTAATCTGAGCTAGTATAATACTCACAAGATATGAGTAATATACACTGTCAACCTTCTTGAAGATATCTCTGTGACTACTTGAGTTATCAAGAAGAGAGAGCTTAAGTATATCAATACTATTATAACTTGAGAAGAATTCAAGAACTTTCTACTGAATCAAATCAAAGATCAC